CACACACACACACACTGCTGTACTTCACCCAGCAAAAGCAACTAGAGGCCTCAAACTAACTATCTCTGTACGTACTGTACAAATGGCCACATCTCCACTGTTTCCTCTTGTTGCTGCGAGCCGGTGCAGCTTTTAAGTGTATTTAATTTAAAAAGTGCAGATCTTAGTAAGCGGCAGTTGTACAGGAACTTCACACTTTGATTATTAAAGCAGGACGTCGGTTTTTAGCTCAAAGTGTTGCATCTTGTTCTCCCTTAATGCTGCATCCGTTTATGATAGAAATCTCATATCTCCAATTTTGCCAGGGTCGGCTCTCCCTCTCTCTCTCTCTCTCTCTCTCTCATTTCACCTCCGTAGTTCTCCTTCCGCTCCCCGTAGTGCTGTTGCTGCACCCACCCACACAGGAGCACGTGCACGCACACACAAACACACGCTCGCATATAACAGAAACAGACAGAAACACACTCGCACGCACACCTTCCTCTCCCTGCGGTGTCATTGTTTTCTGCGAACGTTGCAAAGTGTTTACATTTCTGCATAACAGCAACCATAAACCTGCCCTCCCTCCTCTCTCTCTCTCTCCTCTTCCCATCCTGCACTTCTTTCTTTTTAACTTATCTTCCTCTGCTCTTTGTCATCATCTTACCCTTTCGTTTTGTCCTCTATTCATCACTTTGTTTTGGTTTTTTTTTTAGATATGAAACAGGTTCGAGGTCTCTGTGTTGGAATAAAAAAACTTCCTTAAATTTTCTCTTTCATCTTGCGCTCGCCCTCTCGTTTCCTCCTTCATATTCCCTGCCTTCCCTCCTTTTCATCCCTCTCATCTCCTGCCCTTCCCTATTTTTATCACTCCACGATCCACTCAAACCCCCTCCTCTCCTCCTCTTTCATCCCTCTATTCTACATGCATCCCCTCCTCCTCCTCACCTCCCCTCTGCTCCCTCCTGTCCTCTATCTGTTACTCTCATATTATTTTTATCCCGACCCATTCTTCTCTCTGTCCTCTCCTGTCCTTTCTTTTTCTCCTTTAGGCAGCAGGTTTGGCCTGGTGTTAAAAAAACTGTCCTGCAACTTAAAAAGTCGCAGCTTTGATCCCCCCCAGTGCTGTCCTTAAAACTTAAATCTGTAACTTCACAATCACACTGATGTTCAGATTTGTACATTTCCTGCCTGATAACTAGGGCTGCAACTCACAATTGCTCTTCTCTTCTTTTAGGGATGGGTTAGAGTACTCTGTTTGGACGTCAGTGTTGAGTGCGCAGCCACAGGTAATGTTCAATGCTTTCAGTCGCCCATCACTCACAGTGTTACAGGCAGACGAAATCAACATGTAGTGTAACATTAAACTTGTGTATCATAGAACAACCAGTTCAATGATGAATAACTTGCGGATTAAACACAAAGAAAAAACAATGGAGACGAATAACAACTAGGGATGGGCGATATGTTATCATTTACGATATATCGTCAAAAACGTTCCCCGCGGTAAGAATATGTCATCCCACGATAAAAACGATAAATTCCCATTGATGATTGACGACACACTCGCAGCCCAACACGTGTGGAGTATTGACAACAATGGTTGAAAAGCTCGTTCCTAAAGGGGGCTCCAGCTCCGTTATCTGGAACTGGTCTGACGCGGAGCACCAATTTACCACCTGCAAGGTTTGCAAACAAATAGTGCCCACAAAGAACAGTAAGACGACTAATTTTAAACACAAGCCACAAACCGGAATACGACGATAGCCAGAAAATGGCCGCCAAGGATGCAGAAGCAGCGTCAACTTCAACCGAAGCCTCTTTATTTGTCTTGTTTCTTAATTTATCAGATTGTATTTGCAGTTGCACTACTTTGTGATTTTTATAAGCCAAGTTATTTTTGCTGCCAAAAAGTACATTTAATAATTAATACGTTTTTAATAAATAATAGATTCTGTTCTCACATTTCAGACTTGTTTGTTTGGTGTTCACTCACTACATTTTTGCAGTACAGGTGTGCTACTTGAACTTAATTGATGTAGTTTAGTAGTCTTTATTATTATTTTGGTGATTTATAGTCAAAAAGATTAGGCTGAATTGGTGTTTATTTATCGTCATTTACCGTGATAAATACCAGAAGTTATCGAGATATGATCCCGTTAGACTTTGTGCTGATTGTGTTTGTAGAGCCTGAGTAAAAGCTAGCGTCGCTGCAACTACAAGAGTGGAGATGAACGAGGAAAGTTTGAATTAAATTAAGTGTTTAGCCGACAGGCCAAAGTGGCTGCACATGAAAGCAACCACGATTTTTACTATGTAGATTACTGAAATTATTACAAACATCTTAATGTTTGTGGATATTGTTTTTCTTGATGTCGGCTATAAACCCCACCCACATTTTCTCATCATTTTTTCATCGTTTTTTTTTCTATAAAATGCCTTAAAATTGTGAAAAACACCTAAGTTGATGTATTTAAATATCTTGTTCTTATGCGATTTTTGCTTAAATAAATGACTCGGACAATTAATAATTATCAAACTGGTTGCAGATGAATTTCTGTTTATTAAATCAAACTAATTGTTTCAGCTCAAGTAAAACACAGAAAGTGGCATATATTCTCAATAGAGCTGCAACTAATGTTAATTTTCATTAATTGATTAATTGCTATCTTTTTAGTCTAAAAAATTTCAGAAAAAGGTAAAAATAAATTGGAAAATGTCAACTCCAGTTAAAGTTAACATCTTAAAATGTCTTGTTTGTCCAACAGTCCAAAATGCAAAGATATTAAGTTTATAATTATGTACTGTCACCCTAAAAATCTATTATTATATTAGTTGATTATTTAATTATGAAAATAGTTGGCATTTTTTACTTCATCACTTAATTGACCAACCAATCATCGACTAATTGTTGGAGCTCTACTTTCAAATATATTCTTGTCAGAAGTTTAAAGACAGAACAGTTTCCCAGAGGATGGTAAGTAATGTGTAACATGATGCAGAGTTACTATCAAAAAACCCAAAATGTGGTTGTGAAGTTGTTTCTGAACAAAGCTAGACTAATCTATCGGCCAATGAGTAACAAGAAATGACTGTACAGAAATGCCAAAGTAGTTTGTAAAATGACCCACTTAGTGAATATTTTGTTTAAATGTATTTAATAATTAAAAACGAACACAAATCTAAAGGACCTGTATCAAAATTGATTGGTTCGTAGGCCAAAGAAATCCAGCTGGGCTCAGAACAAACTGCACTGGAGATGTTCAGTATTGTCATTAATGTAATGTAGTTCACATTAAATAAAACAAGACATGAAGCAACTGATGCCAATCTTTAACTTTGGGAAGCTGTGTGTAGATTTTACACTGTAGTGTGTAGATATAAAGTTCATCAACATATTGTAGAAATTGTAATATGACCATAGTGCAATATCCAAATTGTAGAAGCTGTAATTTTAGATTTTCCACTGATTAAAAGGTCAAATGTGTGACAGAACAGCGGTATAATAAAGTCCTGTAGTGCTGGCGTACAAATATACTTCTCTACAGACCCCAACAAATGTCACACTAATCATGGTATTAACTAATTAATTAAAATGTGACAAGAATGATCTGTCCACGTAATTTGTGAATCATATCATAGGCCAAATCCAAATATACTCTAAAACTTAATACAATGTTTGATGTGATCTCTTTTGATTTTAATGATTAATCTTTGACATAAAAAGTTTGCCTGAATGACAATGATGATTTCTCAACCAGCGTTTGTTCTACCATTTAATATTAGTTTTTTTAGTTTTCCTAGATGTTCCTCAAAACCCACACTTTATATAGTGATTCCTTCTCTAGATAATTTTATACACTTTTTCTAGTGTAAACTCACAACAGACTGCAGATTACATTGTTTGTTTTTGCTATCCAGACGTAGAGATCAGCTGGGCGAAACCCAGGAGGCTTCTTTTTATTTTTTTATTTATTCATCTCCTGCCAGTTCCGCTTTTTTCTACCTCCTTCCATTCTTTTTTGTACTGTTTTGACTGGCAACCCTGGTGTTCCCTACCACCCCTAACTCTTATCTGTCACTGTTAAATCACTCCCCACTGTGTGGTGTGTGCTGTGTTGTTGTGTGTGTGTGTGTGTGTCTGTTGTGGGGTGCCTGTCCTGGGTTAAAAAATGGCACATTGCAC